TATTCATTCTCACTTCAAAAAGCTCATAACTTTTGGTTATTTGTCTTGTGTGCACATATCATCCATCCTTTAGTGTGAATAGATCAGTTTTGCTAGAATAAAAGGTTTTTTAATTTTTTTAAATGATGAGTGAATTGAAATTCATGACACACAAATGTTACAAGCAGCCACTTGACATCGTGTGAGAGATTAGTATTTCAATATAAATATAACAAAACCTATCACTTTATATATTCTTTTGTTAAGTTTTCTTTTCTTATTTATATTTTTTGTTTTTTAATGCATTTTAAATTATTTTTGAAAAAAAAAAGTTTGGGGCACTGCCTCCGAACCCCGCTACTAAATGTGCAGACATAAATTAAATTTTTTGAGTCCGCCATTGAACACCACCACCACCACCACCATCATCCTGACACGACCACCGCCACCACCATCGTCATCGTCGTCGTCATCGTACCAGTGTCATAATCACCACCACTATGATGCCACCGTCACCATCACCACCACCTCCACCCATCACTACCACCATGCCACCCTCACCGCCACCACTATCACCGTCACCACCACCATCATTGTAACCACTGTCGTCACCGCCACCACCACCACCACCACCGCTACCATCACCACCATTATCACCAACCACCACTACCATTACTGCAGCCACTACCGTCCCCACCACCTCCGCCAACCACAACCACCACCGTCACAGCCACCACTGTTATCACCACCACCATTACACCACCACCGCCACTATCACCACCACCACTACCATGACGCCATCACAACCACCACCACCACCACCACCACCACCGTGCCACCGCTACTATTGTCGCTGCCGCAGCCGCCACCAACCACCATCCCCACCACCATTGTCCCAGCCACTGCTGTCACCTCCACCACCATCATCCCCACCATTACCACCGTCGCCGCCACCATTACCACAACCATCGCCGCAGCCACTGCCGTCACAACCACCACCACTATCATCACCACATCACTGTCACCACCACTACCATACCGCCGCCGCCACCACCACCACCATGCCACCCCCCGCCGCCACCACACCATATGAATAGAAAAGTGATGATCCGAATATTTTATTTATTTAATAGGAATTATTTTTTATTATATTTTTTGTTGTGTTATCAAACACAATTCTCATTCTCGAAATAAAAATAGAATATGTTACCAAACATATTTTTTTTCTCAGAAACTGTTTCAAGACACAGAAATAGAAAAAAATCATTTCTTGTCAGAAACAGTGTTAGGGAATAGAATGATTGTCATACGCACCCCAAGTCTTAACTTTGAGAAATGAAAATATCTGAAAAGTTTGCTAAAATTGAGTGGAAGCAAGAAGAGAGAGAAGCATAGGAAGCAGCGTAGTGGTCAGGGTATTTTTCTTCAAAAATTATTGAAAAATATTCTCATCAGGTGGTAATTCGAAAATACTATGTATCTGGTGGTATTCTAAAATGGATTTTGCTTCATAAGTTATTTTCTTGACAATCTAATTTTTTTGAAATTTTTTATAATTTTCATATTAAATATGGGTAAATAAAATTTTTAAAATCAATTTTGTGAAAATTTAAAATTTACCTACGTACCAAATGCCCGTAAAAGAGTGTTAATCTATAATAAACATACAATAACAACCTTAAGCGCGTTTGTCATGCTAATGCTAACTGATAATATAAATGTCATGCTAATGCTAACTGACATAATATAAACTAATCTAAATCGTACCCAAGTTGGTTATAAATCGAAGTATACATGAACTCTACATTAAATTTTGCCACGAATTCAGAGCTCCCGATATCAAACCTTTTTTTTAGAAAAAAGAGGAAAATAAACAATATAATAAATGGAGTTATTCTCTTCTCTTTGTTCAAAAATTAGGACAAATTATATAAAACTTCCCTCAACTTATGTGATTTTTTTAATAAAATACCGTGCCTTTCAATTGAAAGAATTGATCTCCTTGCACTTTAACATTCAAACAATAAACCCCATTTAATAATTTTAAAACCAAAATATCCCTCTCTTCCAGTCCCCACCAAACAACAGTTGTTCCTGTTCAAGGCTGCCTCCGTCACTGCTACCGCCACTATGTTCACCTGCTGCCATCTGCCATTGAACGGTCGCCAGATAATTGTTGGACAAAGAAAATGACTTTTTGGGTTTTTGATTCATCAATTATCATTAATATTTCAGCATTTTCCAACAGAGCCATTACATTAAGTGCATGTGGGTAAGAAACTGGATGCTATGTTAGGTAGAAACTTCAAGCCAACATTAAACCTTGCAATCTTTTGTCCTAAAATAATTAAATATGTTTAATTGCTTTAATCTTATACTACAAAGGGTTAATTGTTTGAATAAAAAGTCCAGGGTGGTAATTTGAAAAAGCATTTGAGGATGGTTCCCTTGCCCAAAAAATTATTACATAAATTAGTCCAAATTTGATGGTGTGTGGTGATTGTCCTAAACCACCATCCAAGCATTTAGAGTAATAGATATTGAACCAATCTTTAGCGATAGTGAGAATATTATAATATGAGGGGATATTCCATCGAATGTTGGAGCACCTAGAGCATACAAACAAGCAAACAAAAAATCAATATCAACAAGTTATAAACAAATTTTTTTTGGAGATGAAACTTAGGAAACATACATTTAAGAGCTTAAATGCTCTAAATCTAGTGATGACGAGAGCATTATACTCGGAATGGATAAATTAAGGAGAATTACTAGCTTAAATTTAATTCCAATTTATGATAGTATTTGCACTTTGCAATCTTTTTTGTTTTGTGTTTTGTGTTATGTAATGTTTAAATAGTACTTACTAGTAAGTAGTAATTTGATATCGCTTATAGTTGAAAATGATTGTTACCCAAGAGCAAGGGTGTAAATATGTTGGGTCAAATCAAGCTTTAACTTAAACGAACTAAATCTATGAAAAATATTTTGAACTTAGCTTAACAAATTAACCTTATACAAGCAAAATTCTAGGCTAGGCTTGGCTTGACTCGTTTATGAAAAATAAAAAATTTGACTTGGCTCATTTATAATTATAAAATATATTTTTTCCACACTTACATAGGTTCAAATATTGAGACTATAATACATCAAATTCTATATTCCTTAGGGCCTGTTTGGTCTGATGTATAAGGCCTGATAGTATAAGCTTATACTATACGTTATGACATTTTCAGTTGTTTGATGTGACCATCGTATAGTATAAGCTTATACAGCAGGACCCCTTTATACATCAAAATGATGTATAACTTAATCCGGCCTAGGAGTGATGGATTAGGCCTGATAAGGAATTGATGTATTAACATTGCTTACAAGTACAATTCCCAATAACTAATATATCATTTCAATATTTATATATTAAAATAAAAAATTTTAATATATTAATTTTTGAAATATTGGAGGATATTACCTTATACAATATTATACCAAACGCTGGATAGTATTAAAATTTAATCAGGTCTTATACTATCAGGTCTTATATTATCAGGCCTTATCCTATACTATGCACCAAACATGCCCTTAAGTTAGAGAATAAACAATCATAGAATTTACTCAATCCACATATAATTACATTTTTCATGCTATCTAGCTGGAATATAAAAAAATAATATTTTCAATATATTTAATTATCCCATTAGAGATTCAATTCATGGGCTAGTTTGGAATCAATTCAAGATACAACAGGGTCTCTCTCTCAAAACAGAAAAAGTAAAAAAAATCAAACTAGAAGACAGAAAAAAAAGAAAAAGAAAAATTAATTACTACTCCCTTAGACTGTCTCCATAATTTTACCTTGAATTTACACGGCGGGTGATTTAGGAAGACAAAAAGTAAAAACAAGAAGAAGATCTTCTTGCAATTCTTTTTGGTTTTTTGCAAGAATACAATAGGATTTATAAATAATATATAATAAATTGAGAAAAAAAAAAGGAATGGAATTAAAATTTTAAAGGAATTTTAAAAGAATACAATTAGTTTGTTAGGCATGTACCGGTAATCCAATATCAAAGAAAGAGGAATTGAGAAAGAATACTTGGATTTGGTTAGTTGCTTAGTATGCGGTATTTTGTAGGATTCCTGGGAAACTGAATTTTTTTAAATTTTAAATTTTTGGATATTATCGTAAACTGAATGTAAAAATCATATTTTTGAAATTTGAGATTCCCGGACAAATAAAAATTTCTCCTGTACCAAACGCCCCCTAGGTTGTGGAGTTAAAGATGGTTATTGACTATCATAGTTGTCCTAGGTAAAAAGTTGAAGTAAAGTCGTGAAAATATGAGTGACCGGAGGAGAAAAAAAAGACTAATAGTAAGAAAACTTGTTTGTGAAATTGTAACCATGGAAAATAGCAGTCGACATTTGAATAAATTCCGCAACTAAAATGAATCAATAACTTCAAATTGTTCCATATTTATGAATTAATTATTTTATTAAACTCTGCAACTAAAACAAATTTGAATAAATTATGAGTTTTATAAAAGTTATGTGTTGTAGCAAAAGTGATTGTGTTATGTTAAAGAGATTCATTTTTCATGCCATAGTTTTTTTTTTTTTTGCTTAAATAAATGCGGGCCCCACAAAATATTGTATGAGTAAGAAATTTTTTGTTGTTATGTTACATGATTAATGCAAAGCGCTACTTCTTTTCTTTTATTTCCTACCATTTTGTATTTCAAAAATTCAAAATCAAATTTATGCATCACTTAATTTTCATCCGTCACATTCATTAGCCAACCTTCCTCCTATATCACTCCCCCATATAATAGAATTAGTAAGAAAACGTACGAATTAATTACAAATGTAAAAGGAAAAAAAAATCCCTTATAATTTAGAATCAACCACCAATCAGGAAATAAAAGTAACAACTACTGGTCAAAATGTTTTATTAATTAATATAAAGAAACTAAAGTTGTAAATAAATGTTTGTAATTTCCGATTTTGGTATTCCGGCGATCAGATCCCCGAAGCTCCCTTTGAGGTTATCAAACGGTTCCCAGTAACCCTTTGGGCATCGCATCACCGTCCATTTTGATAAGAAAATCGGGAAGAAGCAGCCGTGCACGATGCATCATACTGGTGATTCACACGGTACCTGAAGCACGAAGAAACAGAAAACTCGAATACAAATTTAGGCAGCATAGGAAGCAAAAGCCAAAAGCTGTTAGATTGGATCTTCATCAATAATGTTTTCTAGATTCTTTCAGAAATCTTCACCGCAACAAAGCCCACAGCCACAGCCACAGGTACGTGCCTCAATTTCATGTTCATTACAGATTCTAAATTCTTCGTGTGTGTGTGTGTGTGTGTTTTGGTCAAATAGTGCATTGATATGAGTTTCGATGTGAATATGAGTTCTGATACTGATGTTGTCTCTGAACATTTTTCGTGGTGTATTTCAACGGCAGAACGTAGTGCAACGTCGTTTTTCGTCTGCGGATTTTGATCCGCGAGTTCTTCTTCACTATGGTGTTCCATCTACTGCGTCTATCCTTGCCTTTGATCGCATCCAACGTCTATTGGCGGTGGGAACACTGTGAGTTATTGCTTGTCATTGCCTTTGTGTCCGAACAGTGCGTTCTCTTCATATTTTCTGCTTTATTGGAATTCTCCATTTCCAATGATACCAGAGTGAAATATTCACCAATTAGAAAACTGTCTATTTTTAAGTAAGGTCAGCTATATGATACATGCTTTTTGTGCATTATATACTAGATTCATGCTTTTGGAACTAGCTAATAATACATTATTAGTAAAATGAATTTTTATGTTTTTTGTAACTTCACTAGAATACCTTTTTTTTTTTAATCATTCAAAGTTTCATCATTCCTTTTCTGTGATGATTGAGGATTATCTTAGATATGAGAACACCAATATAGTACATTAGTACATTGTGGTGTTTAGAGTTAGACAATTTTCCAATGGAAATTGTTAGAGGCTTTATGAGTTGACTTCTGCATTTTTCTTCACTCTTGTAGTGATGGCAGGATAAAGGTGTTTGGTGGTGATAATATTGAAGGGACTCTTATCTCTCCTAAGCAAATATCGTTCAAGAATTTAGAGGTTTGTAATTTTTTATCCATGTTGAAACTTGAAACTAAAGAGTTATGTATATCAGTCATTCAGTCATTTATTGATTTTTACTATAATGTGTTTTATTTGTTCTTTGAACGCGTGCATCTCTGGAGTCCATGTGTTCATGGTGGTGATTTGTGTTGTGTGTATGGTGTGCTCCTGCATGCATGTTTATTGATCTGATTTGATATTGCACATTTATTGAACTGTAGATGTCAAAATGAAATATTTTTGAAGAATTTCATGTATATTATGGTTTCTTATCTTTTTGTGTCTCTCTCACAGTTCTTGGAAAATCAAGGTTTTCTTGCTAGCGTCTCAAGTGATAATGAAATACAGGTACAAGATACGGCTAGTAAAGTTCTTTTAAACTGTCCATGACCAGGAACCCTCCGTATCTGCTTATGATTTTTATTTGTATCACATCTGAGCTTTCTTACTTTGGTTATCTTGTGTTTTAAAATGGTTAACTTTTATACCTTGTTTTTCTCTCTCTTATTCTTGTGCCTTGCCTTAGTTTCATTGACTAACCAGCTCAATACGATTCTGATAATGGCAGGTTTGGGATTTGAAAAGCAGGCAAATTGCTTCTGCTTTGCAGTGGGAATCCATCATAACTGCTTTCTCTGTTATTTATGGCACCAGTTACATGTATAATACTTGTTCAGATGATTCGGAATCTGCAGTTGCATGCTACTCTTTCTAATAAAATCTTGGTACATGGGTCTATAACATTTTTATCCTGTTGATGAGATACAGGTATGTTGGAAGTGAGCATGGGATGGTATATGTATTGAAGTTCGATCCTGAAGACAGAAAAATTGAAATATTACCTTATTATGTTCCCACAAATGTTATATCTGGTAAGTGTTCATTCTTGTAGTTCATTTATGCCATATTTGAGTTCGAAACAAGACTTGTATTTTTGCACTGACCATAATGGCTGGTTTAATAGAAGCATCGAGTAATTTCTATGGTTTGAGTTTGGTGTGTGGGCATAGATACTTTCTGATCCAAATTTCTGATTAAGATGTAAGGCTACTTTCTTTGGACGCAGATAGTAACCCTCTGACCACAAATTGTGAAATGACCTTGTGGTTTTGCATGAGAGAAATGTAGTTATTGGCCTTGGTGTAATCTATCAACTTTCTTGACATGGGTTATGTGTGTCATCCAGAGAAATTACGAGTTTAGGATTATAACTATAAACTACTCCTGAAATTGTGTAAAAACGCATATGCTAAGGTATGAGATCCAATACTCTTTTTTTGATCAATTGCTAATATCAATGGCATATTATATGGATGTTCAATAACCACTTGCCTTGAAAATTTAAGTTGTTAGGTGAAGGCATAAGAATTTATATTTTATTTTTAATACACCCCTTAATGTGAAATTCATTTAGGCTTGAGCTGTAATTAAAGCACAAATCCACCACTACCTTATGTTGAAATCAAATTTTTGCCGGTGTGGTCAAAGAGGCTTTGATACTAGGTTAAGGAATTGCTTGACCAAAAAGTCTAAATGCTTTAACTATTAGGTAAAGGGCTAGTCCAGTATAGGATTTATTGTCAGAACATTCTATGGTGTTAGGCTAGATTGACTAAGGTGCATATTAAAGAGTATTTCCTATAAGCATGATAATTTTACTTATGTACTCTCTTGGTGCATTGGATTGAAACCATTTTTGCATCTAGCTTATGTGGTTTTCTAACGATGAAGACACTAGGTGAGGGTGGCTGATGAATGCAAGATATTGTAAAGCTTTGCACTTTATTTTCAAGGAGGATAGGGTGACTTGTGAAGAGTGTTAGGTAGTATTGGTTGTATTATATGGTGCATTCTACCCGAAGAAATGCTTGGGTATGTTTTTATTTAAAGATCATAGAGGACCCTTTTGGTTCTGAGAGATTATGGCTGGAACTGTGAGACTAATCAGTCAATTCAGGCATATATACATACACACACACATATATATATATATTCCCTATATTTATTTAATTTTGTATCTATTTATTTATATATCAATTTTCTTATTTTTTTTTTATTTTTTTCTCCAATATGTATATATATATTTTTTATACATTCTCTCATATTTTTTTATTTTATCTCAATATTTTCTTGCTTTTTATTCGGATTCATCCACCGCAGACCCCAATTAATTTGGGATGAAGGTGCTATTGATGTTGATATTGAAAATCAATTCCATTAACTCCTAAGTCAGAGCACTAATTATAGCAGTACAGAAAATACAGATTATACACATGTAACACATGTATAAAATAATTATTCCAACAATCAGTAATTTGGAGTTTTAGGTTATTGGTGTATGTGATGTTTCTTGTGTACTTATTTTCATGTATTGCACCATATTGATGCTTTGTAAATTGCAAAATTACTATTTAACTTACGAAGATTTTTGATCATTTTCAATGAAATTTCCTTGTTAGAGAAGATTATTTATTGTTGGTATGTCATATATGCAACATAAGTTCCTTAAAAAAAATGGTCCATGAGCATTTTGTTAATACCTAATTTGAATTTTCTTTTTCATGAGGGAAATCATAGAGTTTCTCTAAATCTAATACCTAACTTGTTTCAAAATTTTGCACACCTTTGCAGACGCAGTTGGGATGTCACTTGATCATGTTTCAGTTGTCAAAGTTCTCCATCAACCTTGTTCTGAAGGAAACAGGCAAGGAAAAAACTTGCAAAGTTTTCTAATTGATTACCTTATGTTCTATGAAGATATTTGAGATGTGAGTATTAGGTAATTTGGATCTCCGTTGCCAGGCTAGTTGTTCTTTCTATTAAATGGTCAGGTATTTGGGCCTTTTTTGTAAATTATGAGTGGGGATGAGTTTTAGCTTCATCAATTTCTAGATAGGCTTGACCATAGAACACAATTGAATTATAAGTTTATAACAATGAGACAAAAATGTTCTTGTGTAGTGATGTTAGAATGGAGAATATCCAATATTTTAGCCATGTTTAGGGGAAGTAGAGTTTTATTCACTTTTTATTGTATGGCAATGGATTATATTCAAGCAAGCAAATACATAGCCATGTTTGGCATAATTTGAAAATTTCTGCAAGTTACAATAAAAGTAAACAGATACTTCTGTGGTATCTGAGTTTGAATTTTTGATAGGGATTGTTAGAAAATTAATATAAAAACCATTCATATGTCTTTGGCCAATAGTTTAAGCTTTTGGGAGAATTGGTTGCTCAACATGGTATTAAAGCCTTTATGACCAAGTGGTCTAGAGTTCGATTATTGTTGCCTCCATTTTTTTAATAAATATTGTGGAATTCTTAGCACAGGGTTGGTGGGACTATGTATTGTTCACTCTTCAAGTCCGATGGGCTCATGTGTGAGGACTGAGGATGTGTGTTAGAAAATCAATATAAAAATCATTTATGTGCCTTCATCTAACAGCTTAAACTTTTGGAAGAGTTGGTTGCTTGACAAACATATTCTTCTTAATTCTGACCTTGAAATTTTTGCCCTTAACACTGCATGATAAACTTGAATATCTTAGTTTGAGATGCTTTCCCCAAGATGATTTACATCTCACTGTATAAAGTTTGAACCATCCAATCCAATATCCATTTGTTCTATTACTTGTTGATTATGCTAATTGCTTGCAGTTGCGACATGGAAAACATCATCGCAAGATTTTATGAATTGTTTAATATTCGGTGACACATATCTAAGATACAATGTTATACACATTATGTACATCGAATATATTTTCATAACCCTAAGGGTACTTATCTTTTGTATAAGTATATTTAATTGAAATCATTGTTTTGCAGACTGTTGATCGCATATGATAATGGCGTGATGACACTCTGGGATGCTTCTGAAGATCGAATTGTTCTCATAAGAGGTCACAAGGACATCGAATTGAAGGGGAAAAAACTGGCTAGTTATCCAGATGACCCTAAGGATGAACTTTCTGATGATAAAATAGACCCTGAAGAAGAGGATAAGGAGATAAGCTCTGTTTCTTGGGCATCTAATGATGGATCAATTGTTGCTGTTGGTTATGTAGATGGTGATATAATGTTTTGGGATTTGTCAACTGCTGACTCTCCCCTGGATCAACAAGCTGAAAAATTGTCAAACAATGTTGTCAAGCTTCAATTATCATCAGCAGATAGAAGACTCCCTATTATTGTTCTACATTGGTGTGCCAATAAATCTTTTAATAATAGTGGGGGTAAACTCTTTGTCTATGGTGGTGATGAAATTGGGTCTGAAGAAGTTCTGACAGTAAGCTTCGTACAGAGTAGCTATTTGACAATGATATTTTGATAGTTATTGTAATAATTAAAAACATCGTGACATCTGTCATAATGTTAACATCACATCTACCATAATATGAGGGCCATAAGTTCAAATTGCCACAAGATCCTCTCACAACAAGTGGTCTTGTGAATGTTATAGAGGAAGTTTAGGTTAAAGAGGGAATCATCTGGAGGCAAAAATCTTGGGTTCAGTGGGCTACAGGTAGAGATGGCAATGTGAAAATTTTGTGTGAGGTGGCCTCTGGTTAGGAGAAGAGTTTTATTCCGGAGGTTGAAGATGATAGGTGAAGCATGGTTAGGAATCCAGGCTCAATTTCTGAATAGGTTACTGCTTTTTTTTGTTCCTTTGTTCAGAAAAGATCAATCTCATGCCTTTCACTGAATGATTAGATTGTTGTCCAATTCCGGCAGCAAAAATACCCTAAAAAAGAAAAAAAGAAAAAGAAAAAGAAAGCACATGGTTCTAGACGAATACTATAATATTAGTATTTTGGTTTTGTGCTTCTTTATTCTCTTGGTGTTTTGTTTTTGTTATATACACTCAATATACATCCTGTCTTCCTAATGGAGCAAAGTTGTATTGCTTATTGAAAAGAAAAGAAGAGAAGAAAACAGGCTATGTGAACTTGTGGATCAAACACTTTTCATCCTCTCTAAATTGTTACTTCATTGTTTTTTTTTATGAATAACTATTTTGTTGGAACTAATTATTGCTACAATTTAGTTTTTTACTTTTGCTATATTAGATTTGAAGTTGGCTGTGTCATAATAGTAGTGTCAAGGGCCTGTTAGGTTTTCATAAATTCAACTTATGTATATAATTGATGTGTCACTATAATATGGCTTTTTTCATATTTACAGGTTTTGAGCGTTGATTGGTCTTGTGGGATTGAAAGTCTTAAGTGCACTGGCCGCATTGATGTTACACTGCATGGTTCTTTTGCTGATATGGTTTTGTTATCTAATGATCAACATGCAGAGGGGGCTTGTAATATGCTATTTGTATTGACAAATCCTGGACAACTGGATCTTTATGACGATGATTGTTTGTCTTCTTTGATGTCTAAGCAAGAAAAGAAGATTTCTCCTCCGACAATGCAATATCCAATTGTCATACCCACTCTGGAACCATGCATGACAACAGCAAGGCTTGATGTGGTATGCCAAGATGTGCAGTCATTTAGGGCCTTTTCTGAGGTAATGCATGTCTAAAGATTCTTTATTTTTCTATGGCTAGCTGTTGCCCCTACGGTAACTGTAATATATAGATTTTATGTTTGTAGTACAAACGTTGTTATATTTTCTAAAGATAAAAAAACTCGATTGTCACCACTCACCACTAATAGTAAATTATATCTGTGTAGATTCTTGTAGCTGCAAAGCAGCATTCAGCACAAAATCAGGCAGGTATCGATATAAAGTGGCCTTTGACTGGTGGTGTTCCAGGCCAGCTTTTCAAAGAAGACCATCCTTTCATTCAAATATACATAGCAGGTTACCAAGACGGATCTGTTCGGATATGGGATGCCACATATCCTGCTTTGTCACTTGTTTACAACATAAAATCTGAGGTGAGGCGTTACCATGCGACACGATTTTTTAACTAGTGATCCCATCGCACCCCCCCTCCCCTTTTCACTTATATATCAATTGAAACTCATATATTGGAGACTTGTGCAAGTCATTCATGACAGAAAATTTATTCTGCAATTGGCAGGTGAATGATGTTAAAATAGGCAGTGCAAATGCACCAGTGTCAGCATTGGATTTTTGCCCTGATGCTCTGCATCTAGCTGTTGGCAATGAAATTGGTGTCGTAAGATTTATTAGTATTACTGTATTTTTTCATTCTCTTCTCATTCAATAAAGTCTTGAATCCCTGGTTCTATGGGAGCATGTAGGTTTGTTTATATGGGCTAATAAGGAGTTCGGATGACACAACTTTGCACTTCGTGACAGAAAATGGAACAGAAAGTAGGGTATTCTTTCTTTTCTATTTGAATTGCAAATAGAATCTCTCTTTATTTGTTTGTGAAGTGTCAAACAGGTTCTCTAATAATTTGTTCAAGAAAATTTAGCTGCAAAAACAAGAAATATTGTTAAAGTAGCATCTCAAAGTTTGGATCTTTTTCAATAAATGATTAGGGGGGAGGGGAAGGGGGTGGGGTTGGTTTATATATCTTGGTACAAAGGCGAGCCATGGAGCAAACAGTAAGACTGCTTCTTTTGACCAAGAGATCATGGGTTTGAGTCTAAGAAACAACCCATTTGTAAAATTGCATACATTCGACCATCATCCTACCCTTGCAAAGTCGGGGAGGCTTTATGCACCGACTTTATGCACCGGGATTTGCCCTTTAGGGGTATTACTACCAAATTACCCTAAGCCTATCATCCAATATTTTTTGTGTGGCAAATGCTTCCACCTTAGTTATGGGAATCTAGGCAAGTGGGCAGTAACCATGAAGCACGGAACCTCACACCCCTAGTACGAGGAAGAATTGAAAATTTAGTTTATTATAATGGCATGCACTAACTTCTATTTTGGTTAGGAACTTATTATCTCAATGTGTGTATTGTTGCGGACTCGACAGCTGCACCGGTCGTACAAGTAATAAAGTGATTGAGTAAGAGTATCGTTCCCATGAGGATTAGATTTCAACCATTTATTCGCTATGTACGCCTTAAGTTGGACAATTGATCAAGAGAATTGTATGAAAACTAAACTAAATAACAAAGCAAAAATCGAGTTACTTGACAATCAAGAAACGCAGTTAGGGTTTCGATTTCCCCCAATCTCCCTTTTGTGTTATGAATTAAAACCCTTAATTAAACGTCCTTTTCATATCGCCAATTAATTCCCCTAAGTTAATTAAGACTCACTCCCTTGACATCCTAATTCTTTACTCTCTTTAAAGAGTCCTAGTTCCCCGGTTGTTCTTCAAAGAAAATAAACATTAACTCCAAGAATCATAAAGATTGCATTATTCATATGTCTATCCCTAGAATCATAAGAATTAACGATGAATTTACCACGCACAGTTCATGTACCAACATCCGTATTGCCATACACTCACCCTAGATCAATCTACAAGATCAAACTCATAGAGGGCATAAAGGAAAGATAAATTCATTCAATATAAAAAGAAAATTTGACATTAAAGATTATTCATAACATAAAGATTTGATTGGGTTCCATCTAGCGCTAACTACAAAGAAAACTAGCCTAACATAGTAGAAACAAAAATACAAGAAATCAAGAAAGCTTCCCCAAACTCCATTGGTGTGATGGCGTGGTGAATCCTCAAGGTTTCTAGCGTAATCTTGCCTCTAACATGTCTCCGGCTCTCAAAGGCATGGAGGACGCGCTTCTCCGATGAAAACTATGCCTTCGGTGTAAAGTGATATCAAAAACTCATGAAGAATAGCTTAAATAGGTGTAGGAATCTTTGTTTTAGGAGAAATCCACGTAACAGGCCTTAATTGGGTTGCAACCGGGAGTTAAAATGAGCTCTGGTAGAAAGAACTTCACATATCAGCTTGTTAAAATGCGCTACAACGCGTTATTTTGACAGCAAAATACGGTTTCACATTTTGGGAATAACTTGAGCAATACTCGTCCCATTGATGTAATCTTGGTCTCGTTGAAAAAATAAAAGAAAGATCTAGAACTTCTATGAAGAACACAAGGTCCAAATCCATCATCTTTGATACAAAAAATTGGCTGGAAGACAGCTTCAAGGAGATTTTCACTAAATCGTTGCTCCTCATTTTTCGCTTTAAGTTCTTCTAACTTAACCATTGCTCAAATGCTCAATTTTAACTCAGTTGTCCTACAAAACAAGAAAGAATCATTCACATAGAGTCAATAATTCAAAATTAATGTTTTTTAGTCAAATAACTCTATGTTTTCATGCTTTTGACTAGATATAAGAGTGATTTTAGTCCTTAAAAACATAATAAACTATGAGTTTATCACGTATTTATACGAATAAACTATGCTTAGTACAAGTATTTTGCAAGACAACTAGTATAAGCCCAACCTACACACTAACATAGTTTTATTCTCTGACAAAGGCAAAAGCACAAAATAGGATAAACAGGGCCTCCAATTGATTGAGAAAGGCTGTAGGAACATAACTTTGCATAGAGCACACTTTAAAATGTGGTTTTAAATTCATGACTATTTCTGTTTTTCAGCAAGTTGTTGTGAGTTTATTTTGGAGCTGAGACAACATTCTTTACAGTTCATGATGTGATTTCTTTTTTCCGTAAGGACATATGTTTTCTGCACCATTTTACCCTTTTGCCAATAGTTTGGCCAGACCTATGTACTGATGAGGTCCCCTGTCTTGGTGAAATTTGTAGAAAAGCTTCCTCTACAAAGTCCCCCCCCCCCCCCCCCCCCCCCCCCCATATTTTCCATTGTTTTGCAACCTTAGGTTTTGATGCTTTGAGTTGGGCTGGTGTAAACAGTAGCTATCAGTCTCAATGCACGCTTGTGGGTGAAGAACAGATTACTTGTTTGTAGTATATATATAGGGATAGGATATTATGCCTTCCTTTTTTCATGTCTACTATACCTACTCCTCTCTAACACCATTAGATCACAATTTTAAGAGAAGAGAGAAAGGGTAAAAAAGTTAAGTTGAGATTATAATCTAACGGTATCGAAAAAGGGTAGATTGAGTGTGCGCATGAAAATATATATATACATATATATATATATATATATATATATATATATATATATATATGAGTTTCCTTTTCCCATGTAATTATGATACTGATACTTGTATGCTTTATCAATAAGAAATATAATCTAGTCCCCAATCGCCATGGGGAAGTTAAACAGTTTAATTGACAATTACACTAAAAACTGATTTGATATATCTTATTTCTGATTTAAATCGTTCTTATGAAATGAGACAGTTCATAATATGCATCAAGGGGATGGACCTCATTGCAAGGCAGTATTTTCCATTCAAAATTCTGCTGTATGCAGCCTACAGTTTGCAAACCTGGGAGAGAAGCTTGCTGTTGGATATGAACATGGGCAGGTGAGGTCATCCATTAATTCCTTTCCTGTTTGAAGGAAATGGTTTATTGGTTGTTTGTTGAGTTAATGAGTAGCAATTTGATTTAAACTAGAGCTGAATTTCCAACTTATATTTTCTAATCCACTTTGCAGGTGGCTATGCTTGATATCAGTACATCATCAGTTTTGTTTCTCACGAATACTGAATCTAACACACCTTCAGCAGTCGTTTCTCTGAATGCAAAATTTTCAGACACTAGTAGCTTAAACATCCCACAGCAATCTGTATCTGATATTGCTGACCATCCTGGAAAGGGGTTAGTTTTTATCATGACTAGGGATGCACACTTTGTTGCGATAGATACTGCAACAGGGAATTCGGTTTGCAGTAGGACAATGAACCCAAAAGTGAAGTCAAATGCAATTTCAATGCACATTATAGGCAAGTATTTTGGATAAGAAAATTAGATATAATCGGCCAATAATTTTATTACTTATGGTGCTGTGTTATTTCAGATGGTAATTCTGAACTATCGGCTGAAAAACTGTCATCCAACTCGCCTCGAAAGAGTGATTCTGGAATGCAAGCTTGCATTCAATCTGAAAATACACAAGTTGCAGTTGAAACTCCTACTACCATAGAGAATTCGTATTTTCGGCAGACAGTATTGAACTCACTCATTTTGCTTTGTTACGAGAGTGAATTGAGCTTACACTCTTTAAATTTTGTGATTGAGGTGCCACTCTTCATGTCCGTTATTATTCGAATTTTAATTTATTCCTTTCTACCGGTTAATGAAATTGCTTAATAACAGGGTAGCAGTAAGTACATACGGAAGGTGAACCTTATACAACGATGCTGCTGGGCAACAACCTTTAAGAAAGATGAGAAAGAATGTGTTCTGGTTGTTCTGTATGAAACTGGAGACATTGAGTTAAGGTGAAATGCTTAATCTTAAAAGACTACGTGATCATCTTTTTACTTTGGTCATCATACGAGTAGAGTACATTTGCATGGAAAGAGGACTTTGTTAATTAATTATTAATAATCAAACTTTAGATGGTCCTTTATAAAATTAAAATACTACCCTTCAAATAAATAGTATTATGTATAGAGGTTCATTAATTTTATATTATAATCTTGACTGGGACATGGATTCCCCCCTATCCCAATATTAAAATCCCAGTTTTGCCGCAAGAAAAATATTTAATGATATTTATTCATGATTATTTATACTATTTAAGAGAAATCATGTGCTTTTGGCTCTGAATCTGTAATAGTTGTTCTAGTGCAATGTTGGCGTTGTTGCTGTATCATAATAGCTTTTCTATTCCCCCCTCCCCTTCTTTTTGATAAGCTTTTGATGGATGTTATGTCACTTTGAGCAGGTCGTTACCTACTCTGGAAGTGTTGGGAGAAAGCTCTTTAATGTCAATCCTAAGATGGAACTTGAAGACCAATATGGAGAAGACAATATGTTCTTCATCAAATGGACAAATTATTCTGGTTTGAAAATTTTCTTGTTTTTCAAATAAAGCTATATTGTTAGTATATGCTGCCGAAACTTATTTGATCGGTCTGTTGTGTTAAGCTTGATATGTCACTTTACAAATGTTTAGTATTGTGAGTTCAGTATATATAACTTAACCAATATCTATTTACTTAAAGCTTTCGAACAGTTAATCATGCAGTAAGTATAGTAAATTGAACTTTCATTTGGAAACAATGAGAACAAAATGTTCCACTTTTGTCTGATTTTCTTGTAAGAATCACCTATGTTCCACTTTAGCAATGATATAAAATAACTAGCTTTTATACCTCTTACCTGTTACTAGAACATTTGAAACATAATGTGATCTATCTAGCTGCACTTCATGTTAGGTATAAAATCCTTCATGAGCCTTTATCTAACAATTTAAATTTTTGGAAGAGTTGATTTATATATAGTATCAGAGGCTCTATGACTTAATTAGTCAGAAGTTCTATCTTTACCATTTCTATCATTCTAAATAATTAAAAATAAAATAAATTTCAGCACAATGTAGGATGGACTTGTGCATTGTACAGTCTATGCATCAAGCCTAAAGGGCTCATGCATGAGAGATGTGTTAGATGTACAAACATTCATGAGTTTTCTACTCAATAACTTAGGCTTTTGGGAAGAGTGGGTTCTTGACAATTCACAATTAACATCAATATTAAGCTTAAAAAGGAAAAGGAAAAAATAAAAGAAAAATCACTAAAGCATTGCATTTACCTTTTATGTGCTTTGGATTCTTCAAAAAGCGTTTCAGCTTAAAGCTGCAGGAAAATACATTGCTTGAATAACTCTTTAGTTCTCTGACAAATGAAGTTCTAGTTGCTTTTGGTTTTATATTCATACTCATGGATATCTTGTTTTATAGGTCAATGGGAATGAAACTGCATTTATATCACTGTTGACCTGTGAAAATGAGTTCTGGTAACTAACTTGTTTCCTCCCTTTTGTGGCCGTGTATGTTTAATTAGCCATCAATTCTTAACCTCAAAATTTAGAGCACTATTTTTCATATTTCAAGTATTGGATGAATTATTTCAACATAACACAGCTTATGACAAATTAAATGAAATCAAATTTGAGAGCTCCCATAGAAGAGACTCTGGAATAACAACCCACACATGGTTGCTGAATGTGATCATCCTCTCTACAAAAAGTCTATGAGAAAATTATACGTATAGACTCATCAATAATTAGAACTTTGATTTTTATCATGAACTTTCAAATTATTGTAGGAATGCAGAGTGTTTTCCTTGTCTACATGATGAAGTTCTTGCAGCTGTGGTAGATGTTACTGAATCTTCAAACCAAAATGAAAGACAGGTCCAGTTTATTCAGGCTTGCTGTGCTTCTGTTTCTCCTATTAAAATTTTCAGGATTAGTATTTCAACTTTTCTTGCCATAGGGAGTACCTGCTAAAGCGGGGACAGCGGATCAGAATGCAAATCAAGCTGTTCATACTAATAATTTGGACAATTTAAAACGATTATTCTCCAGTCCTCCTTTCTTAAAGCCTTCCTCAGGCACAGTAGATAACCAAGATGCTTTTGAGCTTGACATAGTAGATAACCAAGATGCTTTTGAGCTTGACATAGGTTTGTCCTTGACACCTTCTAGTGCAGGCTATTCTTCATTTTCTGAAAATGTTTACCTTATCTTCTGCAGATGAAATTCATATTGAGGAACCTTTATCCATTTCATCTCCTCAGAGAAATGATATTGACAAGAGAGGTATGTCTATATTTTTTATTTTCTCCTAAAAGTATTTTATCTTTCGAATAATGAGTGGGTTGCCTTGAAGATAAAGGGAAAGAAACAGACAGACAGAAATTATTTGAGGATGCAAGCATTGACTCGAAACCAAGAGCTAGAACAGCTGAAGAAATTAAGGCTAAATACAGAAAGACGGGGGTAAATCTAAGATCTGAAAATTCTGTAATTTACTCATTTCAGCTCTCGTTTTGACCTGGTCACTGGTTTCAGGATGCCTCGACAGCAGCTGCACTTGCAAGGGATAAGCTTGTACAGCGGCAAGAGAAACTCCAGGTAGATTATTATTTGATTCCATTCTCCATTACCCGTATCTTACCCTGAGTTTCAAACCTCATCTCCTCCAATTCAAAGAAAAATAAAAACCCGAATCGCCAAAAAAGAATTTAAAGAAGTTTCTAGTCTTGTCTGAGGTTAGTGGATGGTAGGTTTGGGTTCATCTTAAATATGGTTCAGGTTCCGTAGAAGTCTTAACAAATCTAGCTGCACGAGTCATAACATATTCCTAATAAATTCCTTTTTAGTTTTTCTTTTTCTTTATTGAAATACAAGTATGAATATAGTGAACTTCTGTTTGGTTCTTAACTATATTTATTTTAGGGTTCGCTTTTTCCGTGGTTACTACATATAAGTTATCTGCAATAAGCTCAGTACGACGTCGTTTTGGGGCAGAAATTATGATGTTTTTGTAATTTTAATTTATTTTAGGGTTATAATAGTCTTTGTATTTATAATTTTTTAAAATTTCAATACCAAAACGACGTCGTTTTGGGAATAAATACAGATAACTTATCTACATTAACTGCAGAAACATTTTTCCCTTTCTTTCAAGGGATTATATTTTCTTATGCAACAAGAGATATTTATCTCATGTTGCACTCACAATTTTACGTGGGTCCCATTGCAAGGAAAAAGTGGGGGGAAAATTGAAGTGGAACCCATATCTTTTTGAGTGTTTGAGTGTGTATGAGAGACTTGTTGTCTCATGTGACATGAGATTAATATTTTCCTTCTTTTAATATATTAATAAAGAAGGTTATACTTACTACTTATTTTCATTTACAACCTTTTACAATAATATTTTAACCGTTGATTCTGTCAATCAAACTCATTAATTAAATATTAATTCACAATAAATGATAACCGTTGATTGATTAAAATATGATTGTAAGAGATTGAGGCTGTAAACGAAAATATGTTGTAAGTATAATTTTCCTCTTTTTTAATAATGAAAAAAATAAACTCAAAATTTATACTCCTTACATAATCAGGTTTCCTCGCAAAAAAGTCCACTCTGAGAAATCAAAATATTTTTTCTCATTAATTGAAACTTTGCTGGAGTTCTCCCAAATCTGTTTATTATTTTTGTTTCTAAACATTTCTTCGCGCCATTTTTACTAGATGCTCAGCCAACGTACTGAAGAGTTGCAAAGTGGAGCAGAAGACTTCGCATCCATGGCAAAAGAACTCGCTAAAAGAATGGAAAATCGTAAATGGTGGCAGTTATGATTGGTTGCATGATTTGTTATTTACATCGACGGGGTATGCTCCTTTGGAAGTTGAAGTTCTGGACTAGTGAACTCCCCTCGCTTCTTGCATAGGTTACTCGTCTCTGATTACGTTGCCTATTTACTGTTTGTAAACATATTTCGTCCCAAGTGTGTATTTGTGTAATTTCACGAATTTGATTATTGTGTACAGCACATTAATATGTATATTATAATCAGCCTCAATAAGTTGCCTAATGCATAAAACACATGAAGATAAATTGAGATGTTTTAATTTAGATCACAAATGAATGAAATGGACAGAGATTTCTAAAAACTAAATGTTAATAATTGTTTATTGATGAAATTAGACAAAAATACGATCATATTTCATTTTAATATTTTCATTTCAGAGAATTACTAAGATGTGACTTTTATAAATTTAGTAGTGCAGAATATGTTATGATTTTGTATTCAAGAGTTGTACTAGAGAAACAACACACAATTTATCTAAAAGAAAAAGAAAAAGAAAAAACCCAAGGGTAGCTCAGTTGGCAACTGAGCTCCTAAGGATTTGCTTGAGTCAGGGGATCAAGCTCTGCCTTAAGCAAATTCTTGAAAAATCTTTGGGGGCTAGATGATGTGTCTCCCTCCTCCGGTAGCGAAGCTCAATGCACCCACGGTTCCAATGAGGGACTAGCCTATATGGTCGTATCCCGAGGGCAAGGTGACGGCCAGAGGATATGCCTCTCTCCTCCAGTAGCGAAGCTCAATGCACCAACGGCTCTAATGAGAGGCTAGCCTACAGGGCCGTACCTCGAGGGCAAGGTGACCGGAGGATGTTGAACGAGGATACCTCCAGGTTATACCAAAAAAAAAAAAAAAGAGAAACAACACACAAATTCATAACACATTCTTGAAGATAATTAAGTTTTATTAGATTTATATAGGTTGATATATATCGATATTTATTTATACTAGTTTACATGAAATTTAATTGCGCTGCATAGAATTTGTATTTTTTATTTATACAATTTTTATTCATTTAACATTACACGTTCTCAACGTCAAATACTCATCAATAAAGTTGATATAACTTAGTTTTCTTTGCTAAGAGGACGACTAATCCTCTTCCATCTAAACCTCCCGATGAGGGTGGTGGATGCCTGAATACAAAGATATCCTTCAAAGACAGTATTTTAAGAGGCCTCCGGAGGACTTGATTGGGCAGAACCTATTTAGAGTACATTACGAAGGAGGAATCTGCCTGCCCCCGAAGTGTTACATCGATGACAGAATTTTAGAAGATCAATATGTTCCTCGGAAAGATGCATTGGTGGTCAAACTACTGGGGAAGAATATTGGTTTCTTGATAAACTTAGGTTGTTTGGAAACTATCAGATGGATTTGATATAATGGACGTAGGCCATGGATATTTTATGGTGAACTTTGACATGGCGGAAGGGAGAATATAGATAGAGCTATTGGAGGAGGGGACCATGGATGATATTCGTTTCAGTTCAGTGCGAACGTGGACTCTAACTTTGTTCCTTCAGATGCAAAAGTTGATATAACTCTAGCCTGCATTAGATTTGGTTTACTATGATTAAAGCCTGTTACTAGCGAAGGGCATCTGCACTGCAGTTGGGGTGCAGGTGAAGGTATACGAACACCCTGAATGTTACGGGAAGCAGATTTGCTAGGGTCTGCGTGGAGATTGACCTTGCCCAACCGGTAGTAGTAAAGGTCTGGCTGCTTGATCATTGGTACTTCATGCCTTCATGGAGTACTAAGGCATGCACGTACGTTATATGTTTCAGTTGTGGATGTGCTATGACCAAAAGAGGGTGGAGGACAAATCCTGTATTGAAGTAGAATACAGCTAGATTGCTACACCTCTGCGGGATACAAACGGTTAATTGGAAGATCCAGACGTACGATCTCGAAGCTCCCTTGGTCACGCAGGCTATGGAGGTGTGCTAGCTTCTAGCTGAGCTTCTACCTGTAAAGCATGAAGTTTCACTGATTTGGGATTTGGGAGTTCAGAAAGGTTTCATTCAAGAAGGACTCGTTGGATGTTGTTAGGACACTGACTTTTAATGTGAAATTTCAATTTCAGTTACATATTATGATTATTGCAGACATTCAAGACATATCATATATATGATGAGTAGACAAATGAGAGTTGAGCTTCTGCATGCTTTTAGGGAAGTCAGTTTCTGTATAGATGCTATGGCAAGACTTGCTTGCAGTCCAAAATTCAGCAAGTATAAAGTTCTAGCATAGTCCCCGTTCTTGGCTTCTTCCGCTTTTGCTAGCGGGTGAGCTTGGCTTTTTTATTTTTTTTGTTGATTGTCTTTCATTTTTATTTCTAATGCACCAAAAAAAAAAAAGTTAAGATAACCTCGAAAAAGTGAAAACATTTATCTCTTGATTTATATATTATATCAATATCTTACAACACAAATTTAATGATGTACATAAATGTATAATTTATGCTGATCATATTAATTAGTTTTTATAAATGTTAATGCATTTTGTTTATATTATTAAGGGAATATGTTTTCTGTTTTTGAAACAGAGAAATTTATCTCTGCCACGTAGACAAAAGAATAGAGAAAGAAAGCATAGAGGAATAAGAGGAAAAAAATGATGGCGTCATTTCTTTTATATCTCATTGGCAGGCAAATTTGTCTGTTTCAAAAACAGAAAACATATTCCCTATTATTAATGTGCATTCAACATTACCCTTTCCAAATTTTAGCTCGTGGGTGGGTGAATTCACAAAACCAAATCTAAACCAACTCATTCTTGAAAGAACTCAACTTCCTCTTGGGACCATTGGACCGCTTATTCGCCACATAATCTTCTGATCAGGATGACAACCTTTCCCGACATGGTCTTCATTTCAAAGTAGTATCTTTCTATAATGATGGCATGCATAATTAAAGTGATAAATGATCCTGAGCACCCCGCCCTCCTCTCTCTCTCTCTCTCTCTATAGGGAAAAATAAAAATTAAGCGACTGGACCGACTATATATATATATGGATCAGGATAATTTTATATCGGTGTAAGACTAATAAGTCTTACATCACATCTGAACTGTTAGTTTTCGTGCATCCAACGGTTATAATTTAAGAAGTTATAAGAATTAATTGATATTAATTAATGATTAATTACATTATAAATATCAACCGATGATTTTTGTCCACAACAATTGAGATATGGTATATATATATATAAGAGGAATTTTTTGACTCTAGAGTAAGACTTATAACTCTTACTCCTCATCTCAACCATTGATTTCCGTCCATCTAACTGTTATTATTTATTTGAAATAAATAAATAATTAATTGTTATAAATAACCGTTAGATGGACAGAAATCAACGGTTGAGATGAGGAGTAAGAGTTATAAGTCTTACTCTAGAGTCAAAAAATCCCTCCCCTATATATATATATATATATATATATATATATATATATATGTTACACTCAATCTTGAGTATTGATCCACTCGTATCCAATGGCTCATATTATTAAAAAATTAGAGCCCTTAAATATAAGTGGGATCAATGGTCTAGATTGAGAGTGTTACTTATACTGGTGTAAAATGATCCTACCCTATATATATATATATATATATATATATATATATATATATATATATATATATATATATATATATGGGAGTTATTCTATACAATTTTTTCAAATGAATCTTGTGCTGACTTAGTTTTCACCCCTACTTCTTTTTCATTCCTCTTTCTTTTTTCTAGTCATTGATGACTTTTATAAAATCTGTGTAATATCGATAATATTGTAGATAAAATCTTTAATTTAATGGTATACAGAAAAGAATTTCCACCCATTTAATGGTCCTATTTGTCAAGTGCCAACTAATGCTGGGGAGAAAGGAAGCAGCAGGTTAGTCATCACCTGCTTTTCCCTAAATGTAAGAAAGATGTAACCAATTAGATAGGCATACTTTATTTTTATTTTTTTTCCTTATATATGATATTAAATGAGTTTTGAAGTCTTTTTTTTTCTATACATTATATTTAGTCCCGTTTGGATGGGTTTATAAAAAAAGTAACTTTCTGTCTTACTTATTTTTGAAGTGTTTTTTACAAAAATTAAAATTTTTATATTTTAAAAAAATATTTGGATTTTGAAAAACATATTTGATTTTGATGTTTTTTAGAAATTAAAATTTTCAACTTCTAAAAAAAAGTAAGTTTTGATTTTATTTTTTTTGTTACTTTTATTTTTTCTTAAATCAAATATTCAAACGTACTTTGTATAGAAATGTTTTTTCTTCTAAAAAAAAAAAGCAGTATTTGGGTAAAAAAGAAATCCATCCAAATAGGCCTTAATAAGCTTTATTATAGTATAAGCAGATAATAAATATTTAAAAACTCATTCAGAATACCATACCCATAAGATATCTCAATGACTAAAGTTTAGAACAACCAAACCAAGTTATGTGTAAGGAGTTATCTTATTGGATTATTATTTCTTTCGCAAAGTATGCCAATTTGACATTTATAAACCCAGCAAATGATATTCCTTTTATTTCCCCAATAATAACTGAATTAATATTTTTCCTAAAAAAAAAAATCTATATAGCAACATCTCCTAGGTTTTTTTTTTTCTCCCTCAACATTATTTATTGTTGTTGGCGAAAAAACACAAGACATATTACTGGTAGAGAAAAAAAGGCTGACCTCTCCTTTCTTTGCATTCAATTAAGGGGAAAAAGGTGGGGGAGGAAAAAGGCTGATCCTTTTCTTTTACTTTTTTTAAAAAATGTTCTCAAGATCATGAAAATATTTTGCTTATGAATGGTTGTCATACCTGCATAAAATAACAGTGTCTACTTCAAAAAAAAAAAAAAAAGAGAATACAAATCATAATATTTCAATAAAATAAGAAGAGAAGTTAGATTTGAAGAATTTGATCCATTCATGCTTCCAGACTACGATTAGTCATCATTGCCGGCGCACATTACTTATCCGTTGATTTTCACGTACAAGAACAACAAAAGCAGTATAATACGAGTTTTCTTTTCGTGTATGATTGTGTTCATATAAAAAGCCAACAAATAAGCTAAACGTAACCACTAGGATTGAAATGGAACAGAACTATTAATAAAATGCCCAAAGAATAGCAGATGCGAGAAATTTCCATGGAAGTACTATATAATAATGGATAAGCATTTATGAGAAGGCAAAACGATATATATTAAAAAAAAATTGTGCTGCTTAATCAATGACAAATACTTTGTCCACTTAATAAAGAAAATACAACAACCATCCACTAGAGAAAGGTGGGAATAAATTATATAATACAACAAAAGAATTCAGCATTCTTGCTTCATCAAACGTTTCTCCAAGTCTCTGTGATCTAGAAGTTGGAACTCCGTTCAAATCTCTGGATTAAAATGAACTTCGTTCTTTGCAACATCTCTCGTCCTACCCCTAAACTATACTCTATGTAATGTTGGACGGTAGTAAAAGTTCGAATAAATAAATAAAATAAATAAAATAATAAACTTAGTCAGAATAACCAAGAAGCATTGCCATGGCAGCAGCACTTACTCAAGCTACCATCTGCTCCTGCTCTATATACAGCTGCTCCACCCAGGGTGGAAGCATCTCTTTACTGAGATCATAATGTTGCATCTCAGAACTCTCAGAGGGAACATCTTTAACCAATGAATGAACCCAAGAGACATCAGGCTCAACATGTTCTGAATGTGCAAAGGAGGGTGCATTTGGGTTAACCCCATTATTTCTGAACCCAAAAGAAGCAGATTTCCTCAGCTTGTTCAGCTCGTCTCCATTTACGCCCCAATCCAGTTTCCCAGAGGGGGAACTCCAATCTGAAAGGGCAGAGGACACCCTACAAGTAGGGTTGGAAGGTGAAGACAGACCAAGGTGGTGGTGATTTGTAGCTCCACGATCAATAAAACTTTGGCTTCGCTTTGCAAATGCAGCAGACCTGGAATTCATCACTGCAGCTGCCACAGCAGCTGATGAGTCAAACCCAAATCCTGAGGGTTTTCTCACTGGAGAGGAAGGAATGTTGGATGGATAACTTGCTCTGAGGTGGTTCATGTTTTGGCGCATCGATTGCAACTGTGTAGGGGTCGAAGGTTGCACAGAAAGTCCATGTAATTGAGCTAATACAGAAGGGTCAGCAGATGCTAACAGGTCATCAAGGTTAGTTGGATTCAAATCACCAATCCTATTGAATTCCTTGCTCCGGAATGATGGGGAAGAGATCCTGGCAATCTCTTCTATCAGTTGTTGTTGTTGTTGCTGCTGCTGCTGCTGTTGTTGGTGTTGACGCGCAGGACTTTCTAGACCAAGCAGTTCCATCTCCAGATCAAAATCCCTGGCACTCAACGCAGCCTTCAGCCGGCTACCAGGGAGCTGCAAAGATGGTGGAGTGAGGTTTATTTTGTTCTGCCACAAGTTTCCATTCTTGGGAGATGAAGAAGCTGCCAAGGGAGACATGGGCGGTGTTGAAACAGTTGGCATAGGCATAGATGAGGAACTGAGAGCCAATGGACTCATTGCCGTCATGTCAAGTCCACTTGCTGAATAAGATTTTGGTGAAGGCATAGCTGACCCAGTGGAAGCATACACAGGGCGTAACTCCTCGGGTTTGTGAGCAAAGAAGCAGACTTTTCTATTGCAGCCAGTCTCATCTTTGCAAAGCCTTGTTCTGTATTGTGCAGGGTGTAGCCAGGACTCAAAAACACCATGTGCATACTCACAGGAATCCCCCTTCTGGCATGTCCCTTTGCGAAACTCGGGGCAAGGAACACAGCTATAAGGGTATTTCCGTGGGTCTCTCCTCCTTGCATTCTCCCCTGGATGAACAAATGGACACTCAGTCCAGTCGTGAGAGTAAGCCCTTGAGCATGGCTTCACCTTGAAACTGTACATCCTAAACTCGTCTGTTCCATATATACCGTTGTTTATGTCAGGCAACGATATATCAACAGGATATTCTTTCTTATCACTTCCTTCTTTTTCTTTTTTCTCAATACCTTCTTTTGATGAGAAAGGAACTGAGAACATCTGTTGCTCCATCTCCTGGTGATCTCTTTCGCCGCCTTTGAGAAACAACTCCATGGCCTTCCTTCGTGATTTGGACAAAAGATTAAAGGAAGGAGCAATCAGATTAACAGGATTATTTCCACTAGCATCAAGGCAATCAGCATCTGCTCCAGCATCAAGCAAGAGCCTAACAATTTCAAGTGAGGAATCAGAGCCCCCAGCAACAGCACAATGAAGAGCAGTGGCCCTATCAGTACCACAGGCCCTGTTCACATCAACCCTTCCTGTCTCAATAATATACTTGAGCACCCTGGTGCTTCCAAACAAAGAAGCAATCATGAGGGGGGTCCTCTTTTCTGATCCCATCTTCTTTGATCCAATTCTTCTACCGTACCAAAAACCAGCATCGTTGACATCCAAACCTTTCTCATCAACTTCTCTTTTGAAAGCTTCAAAATCATCAGATGCAGACAATTCAAGCAAAACTGGGAAGTTATGGAGACCATCATGATTCTGTTTCTGAAGCTCACTCTCCATGACGTGGTTCGAGGAAGAAAGTTTACTTTTTGAACTACTGCACATGCCCCAAATTCTGCAGAATGAAACAGCATAAACTCAATCAGCCTCTCAATTTAAACTTTACTATTCACAAAAGGAGAAGAAAAATTTTTAAAAGCCCAACTTAGAAACAAAATTCCTAATTCCCTGCAATATATCTAGTAACAACCCCGTTTTCAAATCCGTAAAGATGCAGAGCTAGGTAACATCCCATAAAACGTGTTATACCAAGATTTTATCAACGAATATTAGATCCATAACAGTATTATCAACTATCCAAGACAACAACTTTGTATTCCAATACCTCAACCCATAAAAGGGGGGGGGGGGAAAAGTTGCAGAAAACAAGCAACGACCCAGAGGCTAAATCCAAAAGCAAAGTTTGAAATTTTGATTTACCCAGAAGCAAACCACAAACCATTTTCCTCAAAACCAACCTAAGATCATGCAAGAACACCCAAAAACCAAAGATTTATAAGGCAGTGAAAGCATGAAAAGAAACACAAACCTTTTAGGTAGTAGAGAGGGGGAGTATGAGTGGAATAAAGGTTTTTGTGTTGCAACAAATTGTAGAAAACAAAAATGAGAAGATGAGGGAGAAAGCGAGGAAGGGATAGCCCTTTTATTGTGAGCCCACAGGAACAGCTATTAAGGAAGAGGCAAAGGAAGAAGAGAGGAAAGTGTGACTTTTCTTCCTCTCTCTTTCTTCTCTTCCTTCCTCTTTTCTTTGTCTTTGGTCAAAGTCAATTATTCAATGCCAAAGCTAGGGGGCCCACATACAGCGTGCGTTTGCTTCATGTCTCTCTATCTTCGTAAATGTTCATGTAAATGAAACTCAAATTGAGATTGAAATGAAACTCAAATTGAGCATGGACCCCACCATCGATACCGCGGTCCAATATCACTCAGGGAGGCTCAACGGGTGGTTAACTCTCACGTGCACTTTTGAGTTGTGAATCTTTTCGCCTACGCGCTAGTGCGCTCCCCAGTTCTTTTCTTTCTTACTTTTTCTGTCTTTTTTATTTTATTTTTTTATTTTTTTATTTTTTTTAATATTAATTTGCAATCCCCCCCAACTGAAGAAATCTTCTGAGTTTAATAAAGTTCAAATTAAAATATCCAAAATTCTTTTCATTATTCATGTATGTCAATTTTGGCCCGTTCTGTTGGGCCAGAGAAACTAGTATTAAAAATTCAAGCTTTTGAAGAAGTTGCTAAGATGGTAAGTTTTTAACATGGGCAATCCTTTTTTAAGTGACCATTTTCAAAGAAGATCATTGCATCCGACTTTTTAGTTTTTGATGAATATATGGTATTTTTGTTGGGTAGTTTCCCCAACACTTAAGAGCGTTACTTCTTTCATGAATGAGATTATCAATAAAACATATAAGATTAGTGATTTGACATGAATTAACGATGAAAAATTATATTTTTATCAATGTATTAATTTTCTCTTTGTTTATAAAGTGTGTTGAGCAATAAGTAACCACTATTGCATTTCATTATCAGAAAGTTATAATACTCTAAAGTCCCAACCAATTTAATTATCTCTTTTTTAAAAAAAAATTTGGGACTATCAAATGAAAGAATAATTAACGAAATAAAATTAAAAGTGAAAATCATAATCAATGTTCTTTTAGCAGCATTGATCATTCAAGATGATTAACTCACCATGTCATTGGAAATTGGAATGATCAATTAGAAGTTTTGCTAATTTTTATATTTTTTGATTTTCTTCCAACTTTGGGATATCTTTAATTTAATAATTTAAATAATATTAATAAAAATGATAATAATTGAGAGTGGAAGAATGTGAGAGCAAAGGAGGGACCACGAGAGAATAGGTTTGGGAGTTCAACCTATTAATAGTTTGAACGCGTTTTCTCTGTATTTGGTTCTTTCAATTCTATAATGTTTTGATTGTTGAGTGCTTGTCTGAGTGGGTCGCAGTTGGGTGATAGACAAATAGGATATGTTTCTGAGTCAAACTTCCACTATAGATGGAAAACTGCTTCCTCTCACATTAGAGTAGCACTTGGTAAAAGGAGAACCACATCTTTGACGTAGTCATAGTACTTCTTACAGGTTCATAAATCCATGCTTTTTTATCTCTATTCTTCTATCTTTATTCACTCTCCATAAAGTATCCAAATTCCAATCTAATGGCTCCAACACTAAATTATTTCATTCAGGTACTATATTATATTAGTCAAATTTGAACACTCTTGAACCGTACAAACAGAAACAGACTTTGATGACAAAAGGAAAATGAAATGTACATGTTTATTGATGCATGGGATATTTTTTTAAAAATGTTCCGAGTCAATTTTTAAAGGAGCTTAGTGTTTTTTTTAATCTCTTAAAATATAAATTAAATATAAGAGATTATCCCGTATATTAGTCAACACATATAAATGACGTGCTAAATATTTTTTTATGTATAAAAAACAATTTTTGATGTACCAAAGCAGAAATAAGAAGATAAAATGTTTTGGAAATTGGACGGTGGTATTCTAGATCAAAAGATACTAACTATTTGAGAAGAGGAAGAAAAAAAAAAAAAGTCATCTAAAAGCTTGAATTATCTTAAAAGTTTTATCGCACTTATAACTGGGTAAATGGATTACAGTTTAACTCCGAACCCAACCCAAGTATATTATAATTAAGGATTTTATAGGTCGATTTAAATATAAATCCAAAATTACAGTCATTTTTTTTAAAAAAATATTTCAATTGGTTCATCACTTTGTGACTAGTCTGATTCAGGACGGGTTACGAGATTAAGATTTTAAACTTCTTCAAAAAATAATACTAAAAAGAATCAAAAATATACTATCAGGTCCACCTACTCAATTTTATGATACCAACTAACCTGTTATCATTTATTAAGTTACACTCACTTTAACCTGCATGTAAATGAGTTGATGTCCGCAGACTTGCAGGCCAGCCCGCAATTCGCTTGTTGGGCGTTTTTAAAAATATATAAGTGGTAGCCTGTACTTTAAAAGGAGAAAAATTCCCCCCAAAAAGAGTCACGGATTTGTGGGCCAGCCCGTTGATTGGCAGGCTAAAATAGTGCAGTTTCCTAGGCTATTTAGGCCATTATAGTCCAACCCATTTTTATTTATTTTGTTCTCTACCAGCATTCGAACCTGGATCGTTATGGTGTTGTCCTCCAACAACTACCATAGTGATAGTTCAACCCATTTAAAATACGTGCTAGAGGGATTGGGTTGATAACTTAGAAGAAAGTGTTCCCTGTTTTGGTGTTTTTTTGTTTTATTTTGCTCGTTTAAGATATCACAGTGAGTCAAACCCACAACATATAAAAATATGATGCTTTTATTACAAAAGAATTCATTTTGTGCAAATTTTCATCTTCATTCCCGTATTGGGTTCCGATGGTATTTGTTTTCTCTCCTATCTCCTCTGTTTTGGTTGCGACATTGCTTTATTCTTGTTAGTCATCTTATTATTATTATCTGGTAACTACTTGTCAAAGTAAATGGAAGAATAATGTTCTGATTTCATTGATTGAGACCTTTCCTAAGGTCCATATTTATACAAATAAAAACAACCAGAGATTGTTGTTAACAGTATCACTAAAAATGATGAAACAGCCTATACATTCGGAATCCTAGAAAACAACTTGTAAACAGAAATATGAATTTTGAATCTTCAGTCCAACACTCTCTCTCAAGTTGATGTATGTGTGTTTACCATGCCCAACTTGTTGATTGTAGTCTCAAACACTTTTCCAGATACTGCCTTTGTTAAAATATCAGCCAACTGGACTTCAGATTTCACATATGGAACATGGATAATTTTTTGATCCAGTTTTTCTTTAATAAAATGCCTGTCAACTTCAACATGCTTCGTTCTATCGTGCTGAACCGGGTTGTGAGCAATTTCTATAGCCGCTTTATTGTCACAATATAAAATCATTGGTTGATCATAACTGATACCCAGATCCTTTAATACATTCTTAACCCATAACAATTCACAAACGCCATGTGTCATTCCTTGGTACTCAGCTTCTGCACTAGACTTGGCTACTACCTTTTGTTTCTTGCTTCTCCAAGTCACCAGGTTTCCTTCAACAAATGTGAAGTACCCAGATGTCGACTGTCTGGTAGTTCTGTCTCCTGCCCAATCAGAGTCAGTGTACCCCTCAATTAATTGATTTTTTTTCCTTTGGAAAACAGCAATCCTCTTTCAGGTGACCCTTTGAGATACCTTAGTATTCTGAACACAGCATCCATATGGTCTTCACTAGGAGCATGCATGAACCTACTCACCACACTTACTGCGTAAGCTATGTCAGGCCTTGTATGTGAGAGATAAATAAGCTTACCTACCAATCTTTGATAGCGGTTAACATCTGTTCCTTCCTGATCTGGGTACACTCCCAAAGTGTGATTCATCTCTATTGGTGTATCTGCTGGTTTACAAGCTAACATACCAGTTTCAGTTAGTAGATCTAGGATATATTTTTTCTGTGATAAAAATATCCCTTGGTTTGATCTTGAAATCTCAATTCCAAGGAAATATTTAAGATTTCCTAGATCTTTCATTTCGAATTCTGTGGCCAGATATTGCTCCAACAATTTTACTTCATCTGGATCATCCTCTATTACAACCATATCATCAACATAAACTATTAAAATGGTTATTTTCCCTTCTTTGTTTTTGGTGAACATAGTGTGATCGGAGTTGCTTTGTGTGTACCCAAAATTCTTCATAGCCAAAGTAAATCTTCCAAACCACGCCCTTGGTGATTGTTTAAGTCCATATAGTGCCTTTTTTAACTTGCAAACCTTGGTCTATTCAGTCATACTTCTTTTGACGCCTGGTGGTATATCCATGTACACTTCTTCTTCCAAATCTCCATTTAAAAACGCAATTTTTACATCAAATTGCTTCAATGGCCAGTCACGGTTGGCTGCAATGGAGATTAAGATTCGAATTGTATTCAATTTTGCCACGGGGGCAAATGTCTCTTGGTAATCAACTCCATATCTCTGAGTATAACCATTGGCAACCAGACGAGCTTTGTACTTATCAATGTTTCCATCTGCCTTTATTTTTACCGTAAACAACCATTTGCACCCAGTGGTCTTCTTTCCATGTGGTAGGTCTACTAGTTCCCACGTACAATTCTTTTGTAATGCCTCCATTTCAGCATTCATTGCTTCTTTCCATTTCTGATTTTTCAAGGCCTCCTGCACACAATTTGGAATAGAAATACTCTGAGGTTTGATCTGTTTGTAAGTCAGAGATATTCTCGAATGATGCTTCAACTATAGGTGTTAGTGTGGCAGTTGTGTCCGATAGCAGTGGGGAATCCGAACTTGATGCAGGATTAGAACTGGTGTCTGGGGCTGGAAGTGTGTCTTGTATAGGAGGTACAAGTGGAGTGTATGTCCAATGCTGCTCTGCTTCTCCAGAATTGCCAGAGTAAGGCTCCCCCTGAGTAGTAAGGGTCACTTTCCCAAAATGATGCTTCCAATGTCACATGTAGCTTATGAAGGAGAGGATCAAAGCAACGATACCCTTTTTATGAGTCCGAATAGCCAACAAAGAGACACTTCTTAGCACAAGGTTCTAGTTTGTTTCTCAATACCCGTGGAATGTGAACATAA